ATTACACAGTATAACACAGAAGCGCACAACGCACGCACATTTACCCTTATGAACGTTGGCACGCAAAACCTACCCCAACGAGATCCTCATGATTGACGAAGTCATCAGAGACGTCTCGTTGTTGATGGGAACATCACCTATACCACTGAAAGCACAACGCTATTAAATCTTTAAAAATTTGCTTCCACATGGAGTCAAACTCAGAACATTGAGGTACTGCTAAGACTCTTATAACCACCTGTCCATAGGCTCTTTCGCGATCGTTGCACCTTATTTGAATCAGAAACCTTGATAACAAATCCCTGTTTCTCTCTTATTGTCCACAAATTATATCTCAATTCTCGATGCATAATGTCTCCTTCTAATTAATTGTTATTGTCACCATCCTAGAAAAATATAATACAATTGTGGCGCCTACACCGTTAGAAGTGCACTATTTTTGGTACCGAGATAGGCAGACCAAAATGTTGGAACCATACGCATCATTGGCAGTCACAACCACATGCAATGCAGTTGGCACATCATATTTCTATTGACAGTGACTGTAGGCAGAAAGTACAAAACAATGCTTTAGTTGTCTCTTATATTAAAAAAAAGCTTTAGTTTTCTTGTGAAGCTCACAAGATACATAAGACTATCTTCAACAATGACAACCTAAACGCGGCACCTATTCCATCTTTGGGTCACGGCACAGGGGAAAGGTCATGGACGCAAAACTTACCTTCTCCAACAGCCGCCGGCCCCGCTCGTCCGCGCTTGCTCGCGTCGGCACCGCTCGCCAACGGCGGCAGCGCCGCCGCGCCCGTGCCGACCCCGCTCACCCCGCCACGACGCAGTCGCAGCAGCAGCAGATCCACCACCGACGCGCGCCCCGACGCGGAGAGCTGGATCCCGCGCAGCAGGAGGCGTCCAACCCGTCGCCGTCGCCCCCAGTCCCCACACCTGCCGCAACCGCAAGCGACGGCCGCGGCGTCCGCTACCACATGCCCTCGTCCCCGGACCTCCTGCTCCTCCCCACTGACGCCGCCAAGATGCGCCGCTACTCCTGCTTGTCGTCCTCGCCCCGCTCGCACTCGTCTCCCTCGTCCTCCTCCTCATGCCGCGCTAGCCAGCCACCACGGGCGTCGCCACGAGGTCCGGGCCCGCGGGGGCTGACAAGTACGCTGTCTTCTCCTTCCGGTCGTGGTGGTGGGCCGGGCGTTGCGGGAGACGCAAACAGACCGAGCGAGGACACTTATTTGCCTTCCGCGTCGCCTCGGCCGCAAAATGGGTCATGCCATTGCCTACTCCGTTGGAGCGTGTATTTTTACCGGTAAAACACTGTGCGTCACGCATTTTGAGTATAGGTCACGTTATGCGTACCCTCTTGGAGACAGTCTAACGTTAAGACAAAGAATATCCGATTCTTTTGCCCCAAAAAACTTGACAACAAAAATGCACGTCCACACATGAATAGTTAACTTGTGACACCAGACAATGACAAGGAAAAAGAACCTAATTTTTTACTATTGGACTCTATTTTCGAAGAAAATTTACGTTTAGCCCACTGAGAGACTTAAACTCATCTTTGGACCCTGGGTCGGCGTCATGAGTCCTGGCGCCGAGATAACACATCTCGGCGCCACAAATCTTGACGCCGAGATACCTGGCCGTGCACTACAGGAATCCTAAGTGACGTTGACGTGGTCGGTACCTCGACGTCAGAATACATGGCGCCGAGTTCGACGCCGCAAATCTTGACGCCGAGCTCGACACCACATATCTTAGCACGGACCAATTGCGGAATACACGGCCGCGAGGCGGACTGCGGCGTGCGGCTGCTGCATGGGTTATCGTTCGGCGCGGAGCACCACAAGGAAATTGCAATTGCAGTTTTGCTTGCAAGCAGTAATGAGCCACAGTTTTTTTTTTACTAAAAGGTCACGTCGCGTGGGGCGGTGGGTCCTCCTCCCCAACACGAGTTGAGTGCAGTGCAGTGCGCGTAGTGCAGTGTTTACCGGGCTCCCGTCTCCGAGACGAGGCCTGCAGCGCACTGCGCGTCGTGGACCTGGTTCTCACATCTCCCGTCAGATCCCGTCCGCAAAGCGTGAAAAGAAAGGAGGCGCCTCAGGGCATCAGCAGTGTATAGGATTGGCCCTGTTCTATCCGTTGATTAGATGGCACTTGTTAAAAAAGTGGCAATGTATCGAACCATCACCGGACCTATAAGTGGAGCCCACGACATTTAAAAAAACACTGGTAGTAAGAGCGGCGTCCTATACTCCTGTGGGCGTGGCCAGAACGGCAGGAGAGAGAACGGTGGATGGGAGCGGGTTCGATCGATAGGAGCAGGTTCTTCACCGAACCAGCGACACAATGTATCGACCCGGCTCCATAAAAGATAGGACCGGTATCGAACCGCAGCAGCAGGCGCCTCCTCCGCCTCTCGTGGCGCCACCGACAGCAGCAGCAGGCGCCTCGAAGTCGAAAATGAAATTTATCTAAAGCCCCTTGACTACTGCATCTACTGTATCTACTGCATGATTTGACAACAGGGCTAGGTGTACACGATGCTACTGCTCAACAGCTGCTGAAAATGAAATGACCGATGCTGCAAAGGTGAAGGTGAAGTGAAGGGAGACTACTGTAGTGTGGTGTGTAGGAGCAGGCGTTGCCAATCAGACAGAGCAGCTACTACTACTACAGGTAGTGAGTGATGAAGCAATGCTACTGCACATACGGATACAGTATTGTGCGAACCAATAATCGATCTGTTTACTCCGATCAGCCACACCCACACCACAGGACAGGATCGTGTCTGCCATCAAGACGGACGACGATCGATGACCGGCGAGTACTGCTCGTGCAGGTGCCTTGTAGTGCGTCAGGACTTATGGCTACTGATGAACCAACACCAAGTGCCGTGCCGGAGCGGCCGCTGCACTGCACTGCACATCCATCTCTCTCGCATCGCATGCAAGTGATCGATCGAGCAACACACGCAGTTGTTGTTTTTTCTTTCTCTCTTTTTGATAACAGGTTAGTTACTGTATCATTCATTCCAGCTACGACCGGCCGGTAATATCCTCCCTCAGGCCTCACCAACAAATTGATCGGCAGGTGGTGGTGTGGGATAGATGCAGTAGTATTTGCAGGCTAAGACGGTCTCCAACAGCCTACGCATAAGGGCATCTTGACCCAAAATGCATGATGCACAGTAAAAAATTCCCTCCAACAGGCTACGCAATCAGACTACGCATTTTGCGTGGGAGGAGAAAGGGAAGGCAAATAAGCGTCCTCCCGACGCACGATCTAATCTCTGGCGCGGAGGGCACGGCCACGGGGCACAGCGGCGAGGAGACGACGGGGGGCCGGGTGGCATGCTGAGGTGCACCGGCGACGGCCCCTGCTCGGGCCTCCCCTGGCGGCGCGGGTGCCTGCGCCCCTGCTCCGGGCTCCTCCATGGCCGACGTCCGGCACACCTCTTCCTCCATGGATCCGGCGCAGGTAGCTTCACGAGTGCCTCCATGGCCGGCGCGACCGCAAGCTCCATTGTTCCCTCCGCCGCATGAGGTCCCAGGTCTGACCGCTGCTCCTCTTCTTCCAGCCACTGCTCCCCAATCCCCTTCCATCCGCTACTCCCCCATCTCCGGTGGCATGTCAGCGCTTCTCCGCTTGTGCATGCTACATGCGGCGGCGCATCCTGCTGGAGCCCCCCTCCCCTCTCCCTCCCACATCCGACGAGATCTGCGCACCACTTCGGCAAGCACTGGAGCGGCAGGAGCGGACGCGCTCGACTCCGATGAACAGGCGCCGGTCGTGCTCCACTCCGACAAACCGCGCGGTCCCTGGCCGACGGGAATCCGACCCCGACCCCTGAGGTGCACGTGTGGCGGCGCGGGCAGGGAGAGGGAAGCAGGAAGAGTGGAGGAGGAGGAGGAAAGGGAAAGAAGAAGAGGGAGGGCAGCGGCGGCGGCTTCGAGGTCCGGCGGTCGCGCGGGACAGAGGAGGCTTCGGCAGCGGCGGCGCTAGGGACCTCGGCGGGCAGAGCCGAGTGCGGCTCCGGCTTCGCAAGTTTTGGGTACGCTATTGGAGAAGATAAGATTTGGGTGCGTGACCTTGTTGTCGTACGTGACCTAAAACCTGGAATGGGTGTTGTGTTTGGGTATGGATTGTTGGAGATAGTCTAATGAAGGCGGGCGGGCATCTACTGCAGTACGAAGGCAGGCATCAGTGTGGAAACACCACATGTGCCATTGCATGGGTACCTGAATTCAAGTATGCCGTACAGGACGTGGTGCTCCGCGCCGAATGATAACCCACAGTGTGCGCCGCTCCGTCACATCACGTCGCGCTCAGCCTCGCGGCGCGGCGCCAAACAGCTAAAAGCTAGCCCGTCACATACTCACAGTGCGAGGATGGCTTACGCTGCGAACCCAGCCACGTGTCCCGAGGCAGCAGCCGCACGCCGCAGTTCGCAGTCCGCCTCGCGGCCGTGTCTTCCGCATTTAACAGGTCGGCGCCAAGATTTGCGGCGTTGAGCTCGGCACCATATATTCTGGCACCGAGCTCGGCCACGTCAACGTCACCTAGGATTCTCTGCAGTGTACGGCCAAGCGCCTCGGTGCCAAGATCTATGGCGTCGAGACATGTTACTTCGGCGCCAGGACTCGTGCGCCGACCCACAAAGTCCAAAGATAAGTTTAAGTCTTTCAGAGGTCAAACACAATTTTTGTTCGAAAAAATAGTTAAATAGTAAAAAATTAGCGAAAAAGAACATGTTGCATTGAGCCGTTCAGAAGGATCCGACCGTCTAAAAAACCAACGGTAAGATGGGACAGGGAGAGATCGACAGTTTTTTCCATTTGCTGCAAGCCTGCAAGCTTGCAACTCTGAAGTTTCAGGCAAATTCTTCACCCCATCTCGGCTCTCCTTTCCAGCAACGTAGCCTATAGACCTAGAGAGTAATGGCGGAGAACGGCGTTCAGCAACACCTGTTACATGACGGCGACCGTTCTAAGATGCCGCTGCCGGGAATGGCGAGAAGGTTCCGGCGCTGCCAGACGGCGCCGTCTCACAACGCCGAGCAAGGATCCATTCTCCTGAGGCAGAACATGAGTCGGAAGGGCGCCAGCGGCACCTTGCCGCCGGTGCCGCCCAATGGGCTGATCACCGGTGCGCGGCCGAGGTTCTGGCTCGTGGGCATCCTCCTGCTCGCGTACCTCCTCGCCGGGACCGCCGCGTTCTACCTCGCCATGGACGACATGTCCGGTGACCGCAGCGGCAACCTCGCGCTGGACGCGCTCTACTTCTGCGTGGTCACAATGACCACCGTCGGGTACGATGACATCGTCCCGTCCAGCGACGTCGCCAAGCTGCTGGCCTGCGTCTTCGCCTTCGCCGGCGTGGCCCTGGTCGGAGCCTTCCTTAGCAAGGCCGCCGACTACCTTGTCGAGAAGCAAGGCGCTCGTCTTCCGCGCGGTGCACCTTAACCACGCCGACGACCCCAAGTCGCTGCGGGACATGGAGGCCAGCAAGGTCCCTTACAAGCTCTACACCGCCACTGGCTTCCTTGCCGTAGTCCTCGCGTCCGGGATGGCGTTCCTGATGAAGGTCAAAGGGATGCGCCTCGTGGACGCCTTCTACTGTGTGTGCGCGACGGTAACCACGCTTGGGTACGGCGACCGGAGCTTCTCGTCCACGGCCGGGCGCGCGTTCGCGGCTGCGTGGATCACCGTGAGCACGTTGGTGGTGGCGCTCTTCTTCCTGTACGCGGCGGAGCTGGCCGCGGAGCGGCGGCAGAGGGAGCTGGCGCATTGGGTGCTCACTCGGCGGACTACCAGCATGGACCTCGAGGCGGCGGACCTCGACGGCGACCACAGGGTCAGCGCCGAAGAGTTCGCGTTGTACAAGCTCAAGGAGCTGGGGAAGATCAGCCAGGAGGAGATCGCAGAGTCCCTGGAGGAGTTCGACAAGCTCGACGTCGACCACTCTGGCACCCTCTCGTCGCACGACCTGGCCGTCGCACAGCCCGGATAGACCGGCAATCACCGGGAGACGGGAGCCACTGACACGCAGCAAGGTTCTGTGGCCAGGTGCGCTCCTTCCGCAGGATAAGCTCTGCGCTCAGCTTTCAGATGGGCTACCATTTTTTTTAGGCTCTGCGCTCAGCTCTGTAACACTAGTTAGCTAAGATAAAGACAGCACTGGTGAATTTGGTACAGGCAAATTTGGATCAACACAAAACAAGAAAAGAAGGCCCATGGACAAATGTCAAAACCCGGCCGGAAGGTACACAACATGATTGCGTAAATAAAAGACAGTAGAAAACGAAGGAGGCCATGTCATATGTATTTTGATCTTGTTCCTAGAATAGCCCGTAAATGCGTATGTTCACCTCCGAGTGCCCAATCCCAGTGGCCTCAGGCTCGTCTTGTGTTGGTGTGGGCGGTGGTGACACCGTAATAGTAGTAGGTCCTGGCGGCGGCTTGATCGAAGCTTGAACCTTGCTGTCTTTGTCGATGGGGAAAGGCCAGCGTGTTCCACAGTCAGCCACACGACGGTTGTGAGCTCGCCCCCATTGCTGAGGTGTTTGGCATGGGACTCTCGACTGCACCGGTAGCTTGAGCAGAGCAGCATCTCGACCCACACGTTGAAGATGGCTTGCAACAAGTCCAATCCCGGAGTCTCAGTCTCCTCCATGCGGAGAAGTTCATCTGCAAGTTTACTCCCGAGAGGAATGTAACTTTTAATGCTGCCTGTATTCATCAGATTTTGCTGATTGGCTGTTTTGGCACTTGAGGGGACTCCGTTGGCGTTGGGTTCACCTTCATCTTCTAGAGCTGCATCGACGATGGAGTAATCTCCACACAAGATGCTTGCGAGCATTTCCTCTCCTTGTGACAGCCTAGATGAGCAAGGATGACCATGCCACCTTAACAATCTCTTGAGCAAACCTAGGATGATGATGTCCCAGAGGCTACGCCGAGGTCTTGATCTGCACCGCCTACTCCGGTTCCGGTAGTCACTCGATAATCGGAATAAATCCTAGCAGGTCAGTTTGTACAAGCTGCGAAGAGCAAGGCCGGGAAGCATGTCAGGGCGAAATGCGAGGAGGAACATCATGTAGCTTGACAGTGTCCCGATTGCCTTCACATATGGCATTGCAGTTTCAGCCTTGGCTTTGCTGGACTTGAAGAGGAAAACATGGGTGGCAATATGCCACGTGAGGATGCCCTCTTGGAGTTCGTCGCCAAGACTCCAGCGGAGATCCATGCGTCTTAGCCCCTCTAGCGCCGCTTCTCCCCTCTGCGTCCTGAACCTGTCCAGTTTGGCCACCGAATCTTTCACAATTTCTTGATCGACCTTTTCGTCGTCGTTGTGTTTCTTGCGTTGTTGATCCAGCAACGTCTTCTTTGTACCCTTGATATCTTCCAGCATCTCCTTTACACGCTCGAACAGCAGCCTCTTGACACATTCCCGACCAATTTAGAAGAGCACAAGTATAAAAGTAATCATCGGAGTGATCAAAACGTCATACTTGAACCCATATAAACCCGGTAGTCAACTGAAACCACGAAGAATTTTAAACCAACTTGCATACAAACAAGATCGTACATGATTCAACGTAACAAGACACATGTTACATCCATTTCACAAGTATCTCATACATCGGAGTTCATATAATTATTATAACACAAGTTCACAAATAGCGAAAGCAAAGTAGTTGAAACCCTCACACACACATAGTTCAAATACAAGCCAGTTCCATAGTCATATCCAGCAAAAACATCATGATAAAATAACATAGGAGATCATGCCCATGATCTAGTCTTCATCACCAGCAGGGTGGAGACAATAATTGCAGTGACCATTTAAAGCACGTCATGTGCAACAAGAGAGAATAAACCATGAGTACGAGAACGTACTCAGCTAGACTTACTCATCGTAAACAAAAATAAATGACACCAAATAGTATGCAAGGCTTTATTGGTGGATCTTGCTTGACAACTATTTTACATAAAAACTTTAATGATACAAGAGCATAATTTAAATTATTAGTTAAGCAGCAAGTTACCAATATTAAACCTGTTATCTAGATTAGCACATGTACTAGTGCAAGCACTTGATTAGAATCCAAACATTAGTAACCATATCCGGTATAATGTTGTAACATCATCATCATTATTATAACCATTAAGTTCAATTAAGTGTCTCTACGTTGCCGCTGCTCAGTCAAGTTCTCACTATCCGGGAGAGACGACGACTCGAATCGATTCCTACCCAGCTGGGGAAATTATTCTTAACACACACCCAAGCAACCTGATCAGTGGTAGCCTCGGGTCACTTTTGATACTGCTCAAGAATAAATTTGCGGGTCCGAGCAGCACCGCACTCTCAGGGAATCCACTATGCCAGGACGTCAATCTGCCCTTTGGACTTACGCCAATGGCTCCCCGCACATCCTTACTACCGCCAGAGTGCGCACTTTCACTTTCTGGCTTTCGGCCTGAGTGAAGCTACTCAGCTTTACGGTCGAATGAGTTATTCAGCCAACTAAGTGATAGGCATGCGTTCAATATGACATGAGGATGTACAGCAAATCGGTCCTTAACCGACATAGACGGGGATAGATCCACACCCAAGACCTCCTTGCCTTGTTGCTTCTCTATCGACATCCTGCCTGGTCTCCATTCATTATTAACACATAGTTATTTCCACGATAGCAAATATAGCCAATAGTGACCAGATATCATCCTATCTTGCAGGTGACAGGAAATTACCTGACTTTATCGGTTTAAGCATGGCTAAGCATTGATTCGCTCCTGGACCTAAATATGATTCAGTGTACATTCACTGGACAAGGAATAGATAGGTATGCAACAAGTGTTTGCATCCAACTCATATAACTTAATGCATCAAACATGTAAAGATACTCAAAGTAATATTTTTAAAACATAGGAGACTTAGAATGCTCCGGGGCTTGCCTTTCAGAAAAGAGGAAGGTTGGTAATCGGGATACTCAAGAACTTCTTCTTCGTTGACTTCTCCTTCTGGTACCTACATCTCCTGCTCCTGAACTTGCTGCGGCTCCTTCGGAAGTCCTTGTTCGAATTCTAGAAGAGTGACTCCCTACGGAACACCTATTGCATACATATGTATAACATAAGAGTCATGAATGCAAAAGAGATGGAAGGTGATGATGAAATATAAAGCCATGTATAGGTGGACACATGAATGACACGATGATACAAGATTAGGATCTACTTTACTGAGTAGGTGCATATCTCTTATTAAAAACAAGAACTACACACTCAACAAGCTCTAACAACCTAAGATAAAGTTGTTCATCTTCAGTAAGAGGTCTAGTACCTGCAGCTAACAACTTATCTTAATCATCCTAAGCATCTAAATCATCACATCAACTCATATAAAGCAATCAAGTCATTCACTGCATTCACAGATTCAAGGCTGCAGACAGTAGCTTCTAGTTTAACTCATAACTAGAGTTGTACTGACCCAAAAGACATGCAACAAGACAATCTGGAAAGCTTATGAAATTGGCTACAATTCATATTTAATCATCTCACCATGATTCCCAAGTTAACAAGACGAAACAGGCACATTTATCAAATCGGGTCCAGAAATTCCAGAGAACAAATAGTTCTGAAGACCAACTTTGAACAGTCATAACTCACAAACTATTTGGCCAAATGCCATAGAAATTTAACACAAGATAGATAAGTGAGTTATATACAACTTTGTTATAGACAAGATTCATAGCAAACATCATCTTCACCATGTAATTTGTTTAACTCTAGAATATGTCCAGAAAAGTCACTATAAGTGAATTTTAGGGAAAATAATATTTCCCTACATACAAGAATGGTACTTTGAGCACCACCAATGTTACCAACAGTTAACATACCTCAAATGAGCACTAGAAAACATAGTGGCCATTTCTAAAAAATTCTTTTCATGCTTTTATCAATTTATTTAGATAATTAGGTGAAATAATAAACATATAGGAAAAGAGTGCAGTTAATTCCACAAAAAATATAGTAGCTTATATATGTCCCCAATAGGCTACTGTATAAATTTCATAGCAATTGAACAAGTAGAACATCCTACACAAAAATGACAAGCCAGCAGGGCTTAAAATAGCAAAAATAAGAAATCATATTGAAAAATGTCAAACAACAGAATTCATATTTTTCTTAGCTTGCTCATAACACAAGAACACTGTGCAAAAAGTTTCATGCTCATTGGATACATATTTTTACCATGAAAATAGCACAAGAATCTAGCATTTATTTAAAATAAATAGCAAACTCCTAATTCCAGAAAGATCACTGTGCAACTAATATTTTTTTCCATGTAGTACATGACAAGACAATACCAACAAAATTAGAATCACATTTTTATCACTTTCCTAGTTCTAGTTATAGATTTTACAAAATTGAAACCATTTAAAAGCATTTATCTAGCTCTATTTTATTCTCCTAGAAAAATACAAGAAATAGTGTATTTCATATTTTTATCAAATAATACACTTCATGAGGAATCCAACAAAATTTGGTTCACTCAATTTGGACACTCCTAGCTCTAGATATCATTTTCCAAAGTTAGCACAAAAATCTGGAAAAGAAATACACAAAACCTAACACTACAGACGCTGACACGCGGGACCCAGCAGTCAGCGGACCCCACTGGTCAGTCACACAGAGACAGGGCACGGTGGTTGACCGGTGCTAGCTCGCCGCGGTGAACTTTTCTGTGAAACCAACCCCACCATCGTGATCCTCACACTCTCCCGCATCTATAGGTGTAGGTGGTTGGGCGGACATGCACCGGAGAGAGCTCGTCACCGGCCATGGCGGCACAGCGGCGCTGCGCGAAGGTGCGTCGGCCGGCTCCGGCCACGGCAGGTCCAGGAGAGAGGCGCAATAGCTCCGTGGTGACCACGCGGACCTATCTAGGCTACCTAGGGTTCGGGTGGAAGCGCCGGCGAGGGTCGCCCGTGTGCGCGGCGGTGCGGC